CAACAACAACAACAACAACAACAACAACACACACACACACACACACACACACACACACACACACACACACACACACACACACACACACACACATTTGATAACTGTATTTGCCCAAAGGCCGGTTGCTTATCGACAAAGTGGTTCTTTTTGAACTTGGCCCCTCCCCTCCCTCACAGAGCCAGCCAGGCGGGAGGAAGCCACGGCAGAGAGCCAGAGAGAACACCGACGCATTGCTCTGTTGTTCTGTCTGATAAAGAAACAAGTCATGCATGTTGAAATCATGTTCAACGCAAAACCGGCGACTGACTGTATGAGTCGCGAATTCTCATGGCGGTGGCGGCAAATTGGTTGCTTAAATTTTGTCACCATCACAGATGGTACGAAAGTAGCGAGCATGGAAATGGAAAAGCGGGCAGATCCGATCAAAACAAGGCACAGCCCCAAGCATCGATCACAAACGCGTTTCACGATTGAGATATTGGCTCCCAACCTCCTCAGTTGACGCAACGCGGGATAGAATCACAACGCAGGGCGACAATCGAGGCAGGAGGCGGTCACACCCTGCAGAGGCTCAAACGCGCTGCGTTTGCTGGTGCATGTGAGAGGTGGGGCTGATCATGGGACCAGCCGAGGGCGGCGGGGAGAGTAGGCTGCCAGTGAAAGAATGCGGTGTGCGGTCGTAACTGGGTCCGCTGCCACCCAAAAAGTCATCTGCCGTGAAGCGCGCCGCGCCAGTGAGGGACGTGAGAATCATTGCATCGATTGCGAGGGTCGGCGGGGCGCAAGATGTGTGGTAAGTCAAGTTGGCATACCGTCGTCCTCCTCCTGGAGAGGGCGCAGCGACAGGAGCGTGGTTTCCGCTGCATCGCTGTCCCAATGATTGAAAATGGGATCCACCTTTTCCCAAGTCTTGGGTAAGTGATCAACAGAATCAAAGGGGTAGAAAAACTCGGGGAGCCGCTCGTCAAAGACGGTGCCTGCGGCAGTCGCACCAGGAATTAGAACGTGTCACACGTGAAGGCCCGATGCAGGTTGTTGTGTAACAGACATGTCGACGGGGCGGGCTGTGCAAACCCAAAAGGTGGCACCCGGCATAGA